TTCCCAATGGACGCTATCTTTGGCAGGCTAGGATACAGAAGTAATGGGCCCTCTCACGGTTCAGTTGAGAGTGTAAACAAGTTCATTTTTTTCTGAAAGATTGCTTGACAATACTCCCTAAAATAATGCTGAATGAACTCTTTCACCCAGCAGTTAAACTGCCCTATGAATATGTTGCTGTAGTTTAAGTTCATATGGAAAGATTCACCAAATAAATTATTTAGTGAAAAACATAGTGTTGAGAACAGCTTGTATTGCATTCAAAGAACATCTTTGAATAAAACGTTTTAGATACACAGTGGCATATATGCTTGCACATGCATGATGTTTTCCCTCTAAAACAAAGAAACTGCTATGTCTATGGAGAAGGACTGAAAAGGTGTCAAAGAGCTCTGTTGCTTTCTTGTTAGTATTTCTATACTCATGCGTGCTTGCTCACTCAGTCATGTCTGACTCTTTGTGACCCCACGGACTATAACCCACCAGGCTCTCCTCTATCCATGGGGCTCTCCAGGCAAGAATACTGGAGTGGGTTGACATTTCCTACTCCAGGGGATCTTCCTGACCCAGGGATTGAACCTGTGTCTCTTGCGTCTCCTGCATTAGCAGGTGGATTCTTTACCACTGTGCCACCTGAAAAGTACTACTTGAACATAATTTACCATGTACATGCATTATTAAAATCCAGAAATGTAAAGTTTACACACTGAGGCTTGGGGATAAAGGAGATTGACCAGAATAATGCCAATCCACCTGGGATTTTATAGCTGTCTGTTCCCCAGGACTTCAGCCTATTTCTTTTTCTGCTTTGGGATCGTATTTTTCACTTCAGTTGCTTACTTCCTGTTTAGCTTTGATTATCTGACTCCTACACTTGGACCTAGATTCTGCCTGCAGCTGTGGTCATTCTGATTTGGCTTCAATACATCCACTTAATTCTGGACTTAACTCCCTCACTATGACAATTTCAGCCAGCACATTCCTAGAATATATTATTCTGCAGAAAAAGTAGTAAATAAGTAATTTTCTCAAAAATATAAGTATGCATTGCCATTTTGTTTTGATTTTATTTCTAAAGAATTTTTTCATTCTGGGTACTTCTCTGGATTGAAAACTTAGGAAAGAAGTCTTGGAAATAAATAAATACCAGCAAAAATCTAAAGGAATACGTTCCATCTTTCCTGCAAATTAAAAGTTCTACTTTGGGAAATGAAGTGAAAGGTGAAAGGGTTAGTTGCTCAGTCGTGTCCAATTCTTTGCAACTCCATGGGCTGTCGGCCACCTGGCAGGAATACCGGAGTGGGTAGTCATTCCCTTCTCCAGGGGAATCTTCCCAACCTAGGGATCAAACCCAGGTCTCCTGCATTGCAGGTGGATTCTTTACTGTCTGAGACACCTGAACTCTCCTCAAATCTAATAGACTCAAATTCTAGTGATGGTTCACTAATATAACCAGGAGATCAGGTCTTTGGAAGAGTCGTCTTTCCAGAGAGGTGCAGTTCAGGAATTCAGATACCACACATTCACAGTGCTATGATTTATACTGAGGAGAAGAAATCTGGGCAAGAGCCTTATGATAGAGTCTTAGCACCCAGTCTCTTTTCACATCCACTTAAAAGAACAAGCCCAAGGAAAGGTCAATGGAAAGGTCAATGCATGTTTGAATGCTGTGATAGGATGCAGGAGAGTAAGTGTCTGTGGGAGATGAACTCTCACCAGGGTGAGAGTTAGAACCGGCAGTGGAGGCAGAGAAGAGTTCCAGGAACATGAAGGAAAGTTGCCTGGGTTTTTAGCATGCCCACTTGAGCTTCTCTATGGCAACCTCATGGTTCACTAGCAGGGTCCCTTGTTTCCTTGTTTCTGTGGATATGATAATAATTTATAGCTGTGCCTGTCCAGGCCACCAAAACAAGCACTTTGGGGAAAAGCCAGAATCTTTCTAGAACTAGTTATTCTTGTGACCCTAGTCAATCAGACCCTTGATCACAAGAATCTGGCCAGAGGCCACCTAAGAGCTAAGAGCTCAAGAGGGAGGAAAGTATTCTTGCTCCTGTGAGAATAATACAAAGGAGAGCTTGCTATGTATGTAACTTCTAGACTCATTAGCAGTCCTGAGACCCTCTGGCCTATGGTTTCAGGCTCCACTGAATCTGTGGAAAAATTTAAAAACATTTTAAAACATTTAAAAAACATTAAAAAAATTAAAAACATTCCAGAACTCGCATAGTCATTGGAACCCAGGATGCCTCTTAGAACTGGCTATTTACCTGTGCTCCAGGCCACTCTGAAACAGTCGGTCTGCTTTTCCGGGATCTACTTATACCACCCTGAAACTACTCTAGCTTTTCAAAAGTGGAACCAAATACACAGACACCAACTCCTTCTCAAATTGGAAAGCAACTAGAGAGGAGCCATAAAACATACTAGGGTGAGACCAGCTATGGACTAGAGCCAAAGCCAAATCAGTTGCTTAGACCAGGCAGTCTCTGCAAAAACCCAAAGAATGAGAGGTTGGTGGATGGGGAGCCTCACTGTGTCATTTAAAGCAGGAGAGAAGGAATATTCCACTCAGTACCATATATACAACCAGGGAGTACAGCCCCCAGTCAGTATCCTCTTATGTCCTAGTTTAAAACCAAGTGCCCTGGACAGAATAATCTTTGATCTTTAAAATCAGAAATTTCCCTGAGTGGGGCTTCAACATTTTCATTAAGCTTCTGTTTGATGCTGATACACTCCAGCACCTGGCTGTCACCACAATCAAAACTGTCACAATCAAAACTGTCCACAGAGCTGGCTGTCCTCAGTCAGCAACAAACTGAGTCAATCCAATCAGAAACACTGTGTATACAACAGAGATATGTTATCTACGCAAATGAGATTTCCCCACATCAGCATAGAGTATAATCTCGAAAATTTCCTCTTCAACATTAAAGGTTCCCTTTTTCAGTGTTGAAGAGGTAAGACCTTGTTTGCATGGCCTTGGTTAGCCCATGTTAATAGAAGAAAAGCGGATCAACTCAGGGGAAAATGAGGTTGTCCATAAAGTTAGTGTCATATGATGGTTGCTTGTCAGGGAAGAAAGATGTCCTCTCACAGTGGACCAATTGTGACAGGAGTTAGTGGAAATCATGGAACCAGACTCCCAGGAATCTTGAATGTCTCTTTCAGGTTGATGCCTCCACCATAAGTTTTCAAGAGAGAGTCTATGGTGGTAGGTTGAGGGTTGAATATGTCTGTGGTGTTACAGATCCTGTCATAATGAGATCTAGGACTGGGACATATTAGGATACTTCTTTCCTAAGTGAGACATTGAGTAAATTATGGTTGTTCCCGTTTCCAGTGTGCGTTAGACCTGTATTCATCCTCCCTGCACAAAGTTAGTGGGAATGTGTCAACGATCCTCCCAGAGCCTCTCCCACAGGAAGCAGAGGACCCAGTTTCTGGGTGCTGAGCTCCAGGGCGCCCTCTCCAGTGGTGACTGACACAGCAACACAGTATCCAGTCGTTTGAAATCTGTTGGGCCTTTCCCTGGGCCCATGTCCTATTTCAGCTTTTTCGCCTGTTTTGAATACATTGGTGGTAAAAAGGAGCTCACAGTACCTCTTCCTTCAGTGAAGAATTTTACTAAATCCTAGCTATCAGGAATAGTGTATTTATGCCTAAACTTTGACTTCTCCTGTGTTAATTAGTGGACCAAACAAATTCAGCAATATCCAAATATTTGAGGGTTTCATTCCAACATATACCTAAAACAAAATTTAAAACTAAAAAGAGGAAGACAGTAAAGCATATTTTGAGAATATTCACAAGTGTTTAAATATGAACTGTTATCCAAGGCACACAATTTTGTAAGGATGGAGGCTCACAGGTTGAATATACTTTAAATTGTATTGGTGGCAGTAGTTCATGACTTGAATTTGAATTTTGCTTCCTCTAGTGCATTCTAGTGAGCCCTGTCAAAACTTATACTGAACTGGAGTTTAATTGAGAGCTAGAGAGTGAAGTGGATGAAAAAGAGGAACAATTCCTTATATAAGCAATAGTTACACACGGTACTACCTTTACATAAACCTCCATGTAATCTCTCTCATTTGGTCCTTATCAGGATCTGTAATTTTTTTATATCATTTACAAATAAGAAACATAAAGTTTAATCAAAAGTTAAATAACTTCAGTTTCATGGAAACAAATGTAAAGTTTTACCACATTAAATTAAAAGTAATTTGTCATATTAAATTCAAAGTTTTCTTCAGTGATTAGCTCATCAGTGATTAACCCAAGTAAGCTCATCAAATTATTACTCATGGGTCTTATCTTCTTTACTTGTAAAACTAGAGGTTGGGTTACAGAAACTTGAATTAGGGCTGGTCATAGCAGGGCCTGGCTTCCTTATATTTGCTATAGACTACATGATAGCTAGGAAGAAAAATATTCACAAAAAGCACCACTCAGACTCCTTCCCATTTCAAGAGATTTTTCTGGCCAGTATCCAAACTTGACTCCATTATTTCCACTAATGAAAGGAACCCATTAGTGTGTTATTCCACGTGAATTCATCATTTGTCCTTCTTAGACTGATATCCTAAGTATTGGAAGCAACATACAACCAGAGTCACCATGAACACATCATCATCACTTTCAAAAGAAAACCTTCAGAAGGTATGCATATTACAGAGCCAAACAATGGAAAAATGAAAACAAAAACCTGTTGATCCAAACAGTACCAAAATGCCCAGCCATTAAAACTGGGCACGCTATTTCCTATCACATTTGTGCTGCTAATTTTATACTATTGATTCTTACACAAAAAGCACCTATCTTGAAATCACTAAGTTACTTGGAGTAAGAGAGAAGATTCGTCAGAAGAAGTCTACTTTATCCGGCAGAAGCTTTTATTCCTTCTGTTCTATTATTGCATCATGTAACCAAAAAGTCATTGGAATATAAGGTGTTTAGAAATTTTACTATACCAGAGCATCTTGCTTTCAGAAACTTACCTGGCGAGATGAGAAGACTGACCACACGTAACATACAGTGCGGAGAAAACATTCACAGACCGTGGCTGCTGGTGAAGCGGTTCTCAATCTGAGCCCAGAACTTCCCACCGGGGACCCTAAGGGAGTTTATGGGGTGGGGCAGGCAGGGTGGGCCGGAAAGTCTGGCCGCAGACGGCAGCTGTCACCAACCTGGGACTGGGCACTCAGCAAGAAAAAGGTACTTACTTGCTGCCATGTGACAGGCTTCCACCAGCACCTTCGGGAACCCCGAGAAGCTGGGCTCCCTGGACCCCCTTTCTCCTGGGTTCCCTTTCCTCCGGATCTCTGCTTTCCTGAGTTCTGGCTGCTCAGGAGGTGGCGCCTTGCCCGCACCAGCTGATGCCACCCAGGCCACGACAGCTCCGCAGTCCACGGACCCCACCGAACTGCCTGCTGCAAAGTGTCTCTGGGGCGGCCGTCCAGTCAGTCCCCCAAAGACCTCTCCTGCCCAGAGGCGCAGTGGAGTCCTGCCCGCCGCGGGGAGGCCGCTTTTGAGCCCTCCAGAGCCCTCCCGCCCCTCTCCCAGCCACGCCACGCTCGCCGACTCCCTCAGCCCCCGGCCGGGGCGCGCCCTCAGCCTCCGGACCCGGCGCGGGCGGGGTGAGGACGACCCAGACGGGCCGCGGCGGCGGCGGCGGCGGCCGTGGCGTCTCTTCTGCCAGCTGCTCGGGAAGGGAGGGGGCGAGAGGAGCAGGGCGGGCGAGGAGGGGCAGCGGGCCGAGGGCTGCTAGGGCCAGAAGGAATGGAGCATCCGGGACCAGCCGGGATGCGGCTGGGGGTGGGCCAAGAGACGCGAATCGGAGGGACAGGAGCGGGAGAGGAGGAAAAGGCAGCAAACTCAAGTCTCTACCTCTAGTCGCTTGCTTTGTCTCCTTGCCTAGCTGTCCCCATAGAGCCTGCTGGGGCAGATGTCAGCCTGCAGCATCCAAATCTGGACGTTGCTGTAGAGGTGTGCTCGGCTCCTGGGGGGGAGAGGCGGGGGACGGTGTGCGGATGTTTAGGAAAGAATGGGTTGGAGTCCCTACAACCTTCTCCCTGGAGATGAGATTTCCTTCCCATTCTGGTCACTTGAGACACAAGGACAGAGGAAGAGTTATCCACATGTTGAAAAACTAGCGCGCAACAGCGTACTTCAGGGTGGCGAAAGATGATGGACCCGCTTTCCCAGAGGGAGTTTGGAAAATTTTGCTACATCACAGAACATTCATTTTATAACCCAGTCTTGTTCAGTAGTAAAGTTTCCTTAACAACAACAACAAAAAAGAGTCCTACAACATAGATAATAAAAGCAAGGAAAAGGTAAAAGAAATTATGTGCATTTATAAGAGGCTCAAATTTTATGTCCCAAGGCATCAGACAGAAAAATAAAGAAAACTAAGCTAAGTTCTCTCCAAGCCATGTCAGAAATAGCATGCTTCATCCATGATTCATGGAAAAGGTCTTATTACTTCTATTTTGTTTGCTTGTTTAAATTATACACTTGCAATGGAAAGTTTCCAAATATATACAAAAATAGAAAGCATAATAAATTCCTGTGTATTCAGCCTCAACTATTGTCAATATGAAGTCAATTTTATCTATACCCACATTTTTACCTTGGATTAATTTAAAAGTAGTACAGTTATTTGGAGAAGGCAATGGCACCCCACTCCAGTAATTTTGCCTGGAGAATCCCATGGACGGAGGAACTGCAGTCCATGGGGTCGCGGAATAGTCAGACAGGACTGAGCAGCTTCACTTTCACTTTTCACTTTCATGCATTGGAGAAGGAAATGGCAACCCACTCCAGTGTTCTTGCCTGGAGAATCCCAGGGACGGTGGAGCCTGGTGGGCTGCCATCTATGGGGTTGCACACAGTCGGACATCGGACACGACTGAAACGACTTAGCAGCAGCAGCAGCAGCAGTACCGTTATTTTATTTTATCCAAAAAATCAGCACATGTCTCTGAATGATAGGGGCTGCTAAAGAATAACGCCCCCACCAAAAAAAAACCAATACAATTATCATACCAAAAACTAACAATCATTATTTTGTAATCAAACATCCACTTGATTTATTTTTAATAGACAATATATGAATTACCAGCCTCTCTTCCTCACACCTTGTGGTTACATTCCAAGTAGATTTTCTAATTCACTGATCTTTTCTTGAAGCAATTCAACTTACACATCCGCCTCACCCAGTAAAATTCTATGCATCTTTCTGTACATTCAATCATAGTACAAATAATAAAAATTTGATAAAATTTAAAATAAATAAATAATAAAAACATGATAAAAATTTAACCAATATAAAATATCTAATACTTTAAAGTTTAAATAAGATGTCTGACATAAAATAAAGAGAAATACTGCTTTGTATAAAGTGCAACTAAAACAGGCAACTAACCCCAAGCGGTTGTGCAAACCAGTAATAGAAACCAGAGGCAAACAGAAAGGAAACCAATGATACTAGATTTACCTTCTGAGTTGAGTAACCAATTTTTGTTGTTATTCTGGAGCAAATATTTTCTCTCTACTATAGATAATATTACTATGTTAATCTGACAAATTCTTAGCAATTATTATGCTCCTAATAATAATAATAGCTGATAATCACACTTTGGGTTGCTGTGCCTGGGCAAATGTTTGGTGGGAGGGGTTATTCGCAGTATGTTTTCCAGGCTTCTGCCTTAAGAATCTTCTATGTTTCAAGCTGTGCTTCCAGAGTATGTACTTAGAAGATAGAAGCTCTAGACCCACTTGCCCTGCTGCTGATCAGGAGAAACCTTTTCTATCACACTACACTTGAACCAGATAAGTCCCTGGGGGAATTATTTCCCTCGAAGCCTGCTTCAGTGGAGGCTGTTTATTCTAACCTCAAAGATGTTAGTGTCAGGAGTGTGGATGGGCTTGGTGTTTTGATTCTCACTCCACATCACCACATCTAGAGTTGGTAATACCTTAAACAATTATCCAAAAATACAAACAAATCAAAACATGCCTTCCTTTGAAAGTATGGCTACTAGCTGTATCATCCTTTTCTTCTTCTGATCGAGCATTCATCTTTGGCTTCCCCTGTAGCTCAGCTGGTAAAGAATCTGCCCACAATGCAGAGAGCTGAGTTTGATCCTTGGGTTGGGAAGATCCCCTGGAGAAGGGAAATGCTACCCACTACAGTAATCTGGCCTGGAGAATTCCATGGACTGTAGTCCATGAAGTCACAAAGAGTTGGACACAACTGAGCAACTTTTACTTTTCTGACTTTATATTTTTATTAATTAAGCATTTATTTTCTGGTTGACAGTTTCCCCTGCTGTCTGGATACTTAACAAATTTCTCATCCATTTGGATGCTGGTAACCATTTTAATAGCCTAGTTTCTAATTTCTTCCCTAATAGATGATTTTTCTCTAGTCTGTTTTGGCTATTAAATCCCACACTCAAACTTTGAATCTTGTCATAGCTAGCAACTACTTGTTTTTCTCTGTAACTTTTATCTGACGTGCTAAATATCAGTTGCTGATTGTTTTTTTCTGTTTTTTTCCCACCAGAATCCATGCTGCATGACAAAGGTCATTCCCTGTTGTAAGATACTTAGAACAGAGGGTGTAATACAGTAGGTACTCAGTAAATCTGCCAAAAGAATGAACCCTAAGCATACTTTCAGTTCACTGAGTGCTTCTTGGAAGAATGTGGTGATTCACCAGTGATAAATCATAGGCCACATGTAATATGAAGAATGTGAAAATTGTTTGTTGATCTGCTTTCATTCTGCTGAATTTATGATACTTATGTACTTTAATGCTTCTGTAATACACAAGTGTGAATATTTCCCCTGGCTGCAGAATCTTGATACAAAGCACAGAACTGTCTAAAGAGAAGTGATAGAAATAAGAAAGTCCAATGTTTTGTCTGTGGGGAATGCCAAGACACTCAGAGAGATAAAGCATTCAGCATCAAAACAAAACCCTTATTCTAAGCTACTAAGGAACAGACCTTGGTTTGGGATTGTTGTCAAAATCCAGGCCTAGATATTTTTAAGGATGAATATAAAATAAACCATATTGTAGAAACATGTCTCTGAATCACTCAAATTTTATGACTGTTAAGAGTTCATATTTTCTTTTGCAAATACTAACTTCCCACATCATGTGTAATATCACAAGCAAATGCCTATGATCCTTTTTGTCTAGGTCAGTTAGAGCTGATATAAAATATATCACAAACTTGGTGGTTTATAAATAATAGAAAATCATTTTTCACAATTTTGGAGGCTAGAAAGTGCCTGCAGAGTGAGGTTCTGTGTTGCAGACTGCAGGTTTTTCATTGTATCCTCCCATGATGAACTGAGACAGGACAAAAGCTCTCTCATGATTCTTATACAAGGATTAAATCCACTCATAAGGGCTCCACCTCTATGACCCCATCTAATCCTAATCACTTCTCAAGGGCCCTGTCTCCTAATGCTGTCACATTGGGGAGTAGGGTTTCAACATGTGAATTTCTCTGGAGGAGTACACAAAGATATCTTCCTTTCAGTTTTTATCATCCTAACCTACCTACATCGTCAGTGCTGCAAAACCAAAATCTGTTCCTTATGATTATTTTTCTTTGTATATTCTACTTATGATTCTGACTATATTTGAACTCCTTAGAACTGTTCCAAGAAAACCTTGCCATAGTTTTCAATTCTACCCCAAGTTCCAGAACTATAAGAATTTGGAAAGTGAACAAAACTGTAAAAAGTTGCTTAAACAGTTGCAGAGAAACAAAATAAATGTTTTGATTCTTAAGGATTCTCAGAATTGAAAGAATAGACTGTAGATGATGAGAGTCAACTGGAGTCCCCCTACAAAAAAAGTGGGAAAAAATCTTTTTAGAGCTTTAATTATCAGTCGATAAATTACTAAACTGGTTCTAGTTTCTCAGATTCCCTGAAATATATGTGTATGTAAACAATGTCCCATTTTTGACTGTTTCCCAAAATGTTCCAAATAGTCAACAGAGACTATCAATGAAAAGCCAAATTAA